GGAATTTCTTGTGTCTGCCTGAAGCGGGAGTTTGCACCCAGTGCCAGCTGCTCTAGTGCTTGGCTGTACAGTAGGGTCTTTTAAGAGAGTCACACCTTTGTACACTGAGCCTCCCAGAGGGAGCACTTTCTCCAACCCTGTGTGGATATTCCAGCCTCCATGTTGGACACCATATGTAACAAGTCTTTCTCTGCCCTGCCAGCCAGCTTCCAAATAATGACATGGAGACTTATTAATTGTAGAAGTTCAGTTTATAGCTTAGGCTTGTGCTTAACTAGTTTTTATAACTTAAATTTATCCATTTATATTAATCTACATTCTATCATATGCATTATCGCTCTTTCATCTTGCACCTCCTGTGTCTTCTGGTGTCCTGCCCACCTAGATTCCTCCTCTTCTTCCTTTCTCTCTTCACCTGGAAGTCCCGCCTACACCTCCTGCCTACCTATTGACCATTTATTTGTATTTTTTACACCAAATCATAGCAATATATTTCCCCACAGTGTACAAATAATCTCACAACAATACAGTTTCCTTCCTGGTTAAAGGATACACACATCATGATTATCCTTGGTCGTGGTGGTGGTGCACATGTTAAGCCCCTGTCAAGATATGAAAATTCATAGTGATATGAAACAGGTGATATAATCGTAGCATGATTCCATCTGAACTGTGGCTTATCATAAAGTCCTCACAAAAATACAGAGCTTACCCCAGAAATGAGGACACTATCCTTGGAACTACCTAGTTGTGGTTTCTTTTTTTGTTTGTTTGTTTTTAAATAATCTTTACCAATCCTGTTTCTCTCCTTTTAGGTTTAGTGTTTGCTGTGTGCTTGTCTGTTGAGAAACGGGATAAAACAAAGGTCTGCTTCTCAAGAGCGTCTGGTCCAGCTCCATTTCTGCAAGAGTGGCTGGTTCATCGTCATTGTCATGTTTCTGGGGACTGACCCCATGGTCTCATGCATCCTAGGCAGGTGCTCTACCTCTAACCTGCATGCCCAGCCCTCTTTATTGCTTTTGATATTGTGAGACAGGGCCCATGAGCTTTAGGCTTAAGATCCCTCTGTCTCAGCCTTCCCAATAGCCGGGGTTTCAGGCCTAAGTTGACAGGCTGGCCTGAGTAGCAGGATTTGGAAGCATGGACTGTTAAATGCATAGATAAATGTTTCCTCCTATGGAATAAATACGATCTGGATATATCATCCTGAGACACTTGCCTAATTTGACTACTTACTTGTAGTCAAGTAAGTTTGGAGGTATTTAGTATTACAACACTCTTAAAACTCATTATCCCTTGTGTACCCTAAAGGCTCTGTGAACTTAAGAGGATAAGCACAGAGCTAAAAGGAGCCCTTCAGATGAACATACATATACTATTTACTCTGTTTTTTCTTAACTTTTTTTTTAGAGAAAGCCTATTTTTTTCTTTTCTATTATTTATTTATTTATTTATTTATTTATTTATTTGGTGGTTTTTTGAGACAAGGTTTCTCTGTGGCTTTGGAGCCTGTCCTGGAACTAGCTCTTTTTTTTTTTTTTTTTGGTTTTTTTTGAGACAGGGTTTCTCTGTGGCTTTGGAGCCTGTCCTGGCACTAGCTCTTGTAGACCAGGCTGGTCTCGAACTCACAACAGAGATCCGCCTGCCTCTGCCTCCCGAGTGCTGGGATTAAAGGCGTGCACCACCATCGCCCGGCGGAACTAGCTCTTGTAGATCAGGCTGGCCTCGAACTCAGAGATCTGCCTGCCTCTGCCTCCCTCCTGATTGCTGGGATTAAAGGCGTGCACCACCACCGCCCGGCAATCACCCCTTATTTTAATTTCCTTATTACCCCCTGTGTATTTTCTCACAGCTCTGAGAAAGGCTAGCACAGTGGTGAGTGCTGTGTTTCTGAGAGAAGAGACACAAAGTCTCACTCATGCCAGTTCTCCTTATTGGTAACAGTTATCTTCTCTGGCTATGTGGGGCAGTCTATGCTTGTGACCTCCGCACGCAGGGGGTTGAGACAGAGGACCATGAATTCCAGGCCTACTTGAGTTAGTTATTGAGAACCTATCTTGAAATGAAGAGAAACACAGGGGGCTGGAGAGATGGTTCATTGGTTGAAGAGGGCTTAGTGCTTTCCAAAGGACTCAAATTTGGTTCCCAGGATCATGTTGGACGACTCATAACCCCATAACTCCAGTTCTGGGAGTCCAACACCAGCTTCTGACCTCTGACAGTACTTGCATGCATCTAACAATACAAATACACACAGAGGCGGCCGTGGTGCACGTTATTAATCCCAGCACTTGGGAGGCAGAGGCAGGTGGATCTCTGTGAGTTTGAGGCCATCCTGGTCTACAAGAGCTAGTTCCAGGACAGGCCCCAAAGCTACAGAGAAACCCAGTCTCAGAAAAAAAAAAAAAACCAACACAAACCAAACCAAATCCAACAAACAAAAAACCAACCAACAAAGAAAAAACAAAAAATCCCCCCACCCCAAATAAAAAACAAACACACAATATATATTAAAGCTGGGTGATGGTGGCGCACGCCTTTAATCCCAGCACTTGGGAGGCAGAAGCAGGTGAATCTTTATAAATTCAAGACCAGCTTGGACTACAAGAGCTAGTTCCAGGACAGGCTCCAAAGCTACACAGAGAATCCGTTTCTAAAGACAAGCAAAATATTCCCCCCCCCCCGCCCCCAAGGAAATAAATAAATAAATAAGCAAGAAAACAAAGTCTCTCTGGTAGTACTCAGTTCTTCACTCAGGGTGTGTGTGGTGGGCACGTGTACAAGCAGCATCAAAACTGACCTTGATCACGCACTCTGTTTAACTGGGCTCTTGAATCCAGAACTCAATTGGGCTAGTCTGATGTGGGAGTCCTCTCTGTATGTTATGAATATGCTTTATTACCAATGGTTAATAAAGAAGCTACTTTGGCCTACGGCAGGGCAGAATAGGGGTAGGCAGGAAAACTAAACTGAATACAGGGAGAATGAAGGAGGAAGCAGGCAGATGTCATGTAGCTGATGAAGGAGAAACACTCCAGGACCCTACCAGTAAACCATGAGCCTCAAGGTAGAAATATAAAATAACAGAAATGGGCTAAGATGTAAGAGCTAACTAGGAATATTCCTGATCAGTTGGCTAAGCAGTGTTGTAATAAATACAATTTCTTTGTGATTATTTGGGTCTGGGTACAGTCTCTGTTTATACTGTCTGGTCTGCAGAGTACTGGGACCACAGGGGTGCCACATCTACCCAGCTTTTACGTTTGTTTTGGGAACCTGGACTCCATTCTTTATGATGGCACAGCAACCACTTCGTCCACTCACTCAATCATCTTTTGCCTGTTTACTGAATTTCCAAAGTGAATTTCATAGGTTAGGATATAAAGTAACGGGTTTCATCATGGTCTTTCCTGACTGCATGTGTGCCTGTATGCATGCTTGTCGCTAGAAGCTGACACGGGGCATTTCCATTCCTCTCCACTGTCTGTGTTAAGGCAGGATCTCTCGCTTGAACCCAGAGCTAGCTGATGTGGCTTATTTGTAGGAGGGATCATTTCTCCACCTTCCAAGTGATCAGATTGGAGGGAGGCTGCCACATTTGCCATTTATCTGTGTCCCAGGGCTCTGAAATCTGGTCCTCACACTTCCACGGCACACACTTTACCCATTGAGCCATGTATGTTCCCAACCCCCGACAACTTTAAGTGATCCTACCTACCTTTTATAGATAATTGTAGAAAATTAGATTTTCTTTATGACTGAGCCCACTCATAGCTATAATTTATTGAGCTTCTAACATATGTTCATTATTTAATCCGCGAGCAGATACCATGAGTGGCAGCTGAAAGATAAGGAGAGTTTGGAATATTGAAGCAATTCTCCGAGGCCACAAGACGACCATTGTCTGGATGTGGTAGAGAAGTCTGACACGAAGCCGCTAGAACTTATTTACTTTAGCAGTAGCATCTCCTATGGTCTCCACAGGACTTGCTTGGTTTTCATAGTGCTGAGGCTTCACGCGCTAAGCAAGCGCCGGGTGCTCTTACTGACCTACAACCCCAGTCTTTTGAGACCTGAAACAAGACACGGGATGTCAGAGTATGTTCTGCTTTCTTTTTATAACATTCTAGCAACAATTCAAAGTGTAATTGGGAATGAAAACAATCGATAAGCTATCATGTAAGAAAAAACCCAGACAGGTTTCCTTTCGATTTGCCATCTGCTGTCACAGGGTATGCTTACTCTCTTAGCACATTTGCTTATGGTGTACAAGTATCTGGGTTAGGCAGTGGGGAATACAAGGCTGGGTGGAAACAACCCATCTTCCAGGAAATGATAACCCAGCAAGGGAGAGCACACGTATGTAAGTAACTGGAATTAACCAGAATGCTGTAAATCAGAATCAGAGGCAGAGGATCATAAAGGTCCCATATACTACTTTTTGTTGGAATGAAATCATACTTAGGTTCTCACGGCAAATATAAACAAGCAGGTTTAGAATTTACCCATTACATATGTTCAAAGTAGCTCTAGATAGAGTAATAGAATTGTGATGCCTTGGCAATTCTATTCACAAAAATCAATGTCATTTTTCAAAACATTTACCGATTTCACCATTTCCTAAAAAGTTAGTCTCTTGACTAAAATTTGAGGACTTATCTCATCAGTAAAGGTATTAGCTAGTAGGCATTTTGCCTACTTCTTCACATTTACTTGGTATTTTAAATACTACTACTTTCACATAATTAATTATAACCAATTATACCAGAGCAAATTGAAGACTGCAGAGGGTGGATCATGAGGAGTAGAAAGTCTTACATTTCTCCTTTGAAATCACAGGACACATGAGCTTGACAGAGAATGTGACAAACAATCCACTTATTCCAATGCTGTCTTCCCTTCGAAAGATGTGTTGTACTTTTCCTATTGGCTTAGAATGGGAACCAATAAGGAACCAGGAGCCTTGTAGCTATTCATAAAGCAAGCCTGGCATTGTGAAAGCTGGTAAAGATTGCTTTGTTCTTTGCCTCTGACTTTCAGAATCTTATGGGGTTGACATTTTTCTTTTGAATAGTAAGCAAAAATAATTCAGCTTGGGTGGTGTTTGCCTTGAAATATATTCTCTAATGTTAATTCCTTTTTTGTTTAGACTTAAGATGTGATAAATCTTTAAAAAGATGTTCAAAAGAAAATCAAGAACTTAAATACAAGTTTATTATCATGTCGAACATACTCCAGGTGAACAAAAATAATATAAATTTGCTAGATTTGTTTGAAGTTTATAATTATTAAGGTTCTTTCATTTCAAAAGTGGTATAATTAGTTATTAGTCTCCTAATAGCTGCCTAGAAGCAGAGTTAATGTTAGGTTCTCAGCAATAGCTATTTATGCTTGGGATTCTGGATTATTACAATTTTTGTTTATGATAATATTTAGAAAAAGCCTGCAAGGTGTTTACACAAATTTTTCTAAACATTGAAACTCATGATCTCTAAGACAAAAAGAAAATGAAAATAATTTTTCCTTTGATATTCTTTTCTGTGTAAAAGATTTTTTCAGAAAATGTACCATCTTAAGTCTCTGCTGAAATGTTCTAGTTTCTAGAAAAAAACCCCTAGACTTTTTTCTTTGAGTGAGAGAGCGTTCAAACCAGACTTAAAAGGGATTTTTTTTAACTTGTATCCTGTCCAAATTTACATTCAGTTTAAGTAATTGCCGTAAGAGCATTGACAGATAATCTGTATCTTTGATGTACATGAATACTTTATCATGAGGTTAGTTTACTGCTGCGGGGATGGGGGTGGGGCAGAGAACAAATACAAAGTAATTGCAAAGAGAGAGGAAACTCCTGAAGAAGACAGAAAAGGCGAAGCGGTCAGTACCATCATTAATCAGAAGGCTAGTGTAAGTAAGACACTTTTGTACTCTGAAAGCACTGACCGCTGCACGTCAGGACAGAACACATAAAACAGGGAAGAACAGCAGAGTCCAGCAAGAAAAACATGGAGCGGGTTTAGGGGACGGGCTAATAATCCAGGATCCTAAGAGGGAAGGGAACACTGTTGCTTTTTCTTGGCACCTGAAAACTCCAGCTCCACGGGGGCAAAGGCCGCAGCTCTTTTGGGCTCGGGCCAGCGTGTGCCGACCGCACGTTGGCGGCGCGGGCCGGGAGCCGGCAGCCTCCGTCCGGGTCGCGGCGGCCGCGGGGCCCTTTGTTTCCCGCGGGGCGCCGCCGCCTGTCTGCCCCGAGCGAGCGGGGCCCCCGTGGGGGACAGCGTGGGCCCCATCGCCTCGCCCCTCCGACCTCGCAGCTGCAGCCCGGCCCGCCCCAGCTCCCAGTTCCTCCCTCGCTGCCCGGGCCAAAAAAACGACCTTGTTTTGCTTTTCGGGAGAGAGGTGAGGGCTTGACCCGGCCGCGGCTCCCCGGGGCGATTACTCGGGCCCCGCGTCACCGCGAAGGGGACCCGCGCCCGCCTTCCCCGGAGCCCGAGGGGACGAAGGAAGCGCCGCAAGCTTCCGGGAGAGAGAGAGCCCTCGGGGCCGCGGGACCCGGGCTGCGCCGCCCGCCAGGCCCGGGACTCACTTCTCTAAAGGGAGCCGGCGAGGCGCCAGCACCGGTGGGCTGGGGTCTCCGGGCCTGCGCTCCGCCGTGGGCCGACACACCCGGGACGAGCCCCGCGGGGACTGGTGCTGTGTGGCGGAGGTCACGGCCCTGAGCCGGGGCGGGGGCGGCGATCCACCTGGCTACGTGGCAGCCATTGCGGCGGCCGCGAGACCCCTCCCCACGCGGCCGCCCACCCGCCCTCTCGCGGCGGGCTCCTGCGCGCGGCGGGCTCCGGCGAGGCTGCTCTTCCCGGGTCGGACGGAGAGCGGCAGTGTGTCTCCGCTCCGCACGCTCGCGGCTGCGTCTTTTCCCCCCCGCGGCCACCGCTGCTCGCCAGCCCCGCGCCGGAGAGAGCGCAGTGGCGGCGGCGGGAAAGGGTTGCGGACCCGCGGCGCTCGCTCACTCGACGACGCGGCCCGGGCCTCGACGTCCCCGCTCCCGCGGCAGGTAAAGACGGAGGGTGGGGGAAGACAGGCGACGGGACCCGGGGAGAAGGGGGCCGGAGGGGGAAAGAGGAGGAAGGACGAGAGGGGGGGAGATCCCGGGAGCGCGGAGCCCACAGAGGAGGGCCCGAGGCCGGCGGCGAGCGACGCGGAGACCCGGGCAGGCGCGGGCCGGGCTCCGGGCGGAAGGGGAGTGAGGCGTCGCGGGAGGCGGGCCCTGGCGCGCGGCCCGAGGCCGAGAGAAGGCGGGCGCCGCGGCCGCTTCCCGGGCCTCCAGCGCCTGGCGGGCCTCCAGGCCGCGACACACCCCTCCCGCCCCCGGGGCTCTCCCGGTGCCTTCTCGCCCCGACTTGACCCCGCGCCCCCGCGAGCGCCCCGCCGGTTCCCAGGCCGAGCCTTCTGGGAACTTGGGCTGCCTGCCCGGGCACGTAGTGCTAGTAGAGGTGTTTATTTACTCACTCCCGGAGCACACACGCTCGCTCGCTCGCTCACTGCCCGCGGGCTCGCTTCCCTCTGGGACTGTGCCTGCCACCCCGTCCCCGTCCCCGTCCCCTTCCCAGCCCCAACTTTCCCTCCCGCTCTCGGAGACCCAGTGCGAGCTCTCTAGACACCGGGCTTCGAGAGAATGAGTCATACCGAGGGCAGAGTTTATCCCGTTGGTGCTTTTGGTTACGACACTTTGATTCCCACCCCCCTCCCCCCGAAAGAGAGCGGAGCAATTTATTATTATTATTATTTTAAGTCGAAGCCACATCTGAGCTAGGGCCCGCAGGCTTTAGGGAATCCTTCCGCAACTGTCTTTAGGAGTAGCAGCTGAAATTTGCTGCACCGACAGGTTTGTACACATTCCTGCCATGCAGTGGTTGTAACGTCTCCATAGCACAGTTCTGACGCGGGAGGGATTGGCTGCTTTTTCTACTCCAGGCCGCCGAGCCAATCAGGAAGCGCGGCTTGCCTGGAGACTGGTTAACTCTGAAAAGGTGGGGATTGGTTGAGCTCGGGGAAGAAAATCCAGGAGATAACCTGGCCTTTTAGAAAACAAGACTGATTTGCCATTGCCGTCCCCGCTCCCACCTGTTTATTTTAATACGTTATCCTTTGGTAACAGTATTCGCTCTTTCAGTCCTTTGAAGAAATCGCTTCCACTGTTGTCTTTCAAATTAGCTCTCGACTGCAACTCATTTGAACAAGGCTCAGTTTTCACAGAGATAATTTTTAGAAATAAACATGCGTTTTAGTGCATTAATAAGTGTGGTTCGGTTTCCTTTCAGCGGATTTTTGTTGTTGTTGTTAATGGTCAGAATTGAAGTCAGTTTTCAGTTACTATGCCAACGTATTATTTAAATGTTCTGCGAGGATGCGGGGAACTACAGTGGTGGAGGTGGTGGGGAGAATTAGGAAGAAATGGTTGTTGCTCCTCTACAGAGAGGCGGCGATTTAGTTAGCAAGCGAAGAGAAAACAAAACAAAAACCAATAAACACCCTGCCTCTCCTGTCTGTACTCTGCGGGTCTGTGCACCTGTTGACTTCAGTCGCTGTGAAGCGGAGACAGTGGCAGCACTGAACTTCATAGAAAAACGGGCATAAGTTATGGTAAAGGCATGTATCTTGTATACAGTTAGAGGCTAACTACTATCACTGTAGATGTGTTTAAAAATTTTTTTCTTTTAAAACCTTCATCATTAATCATGATTATCTTTGCCTTCGGATATACAAAGGAAGCTTAATATTATTTTTTGAGATAGGGTCTCAATATGTAGCCTTGGCTGGCCTGGAACGTTCTTTATAGTTCAGGTTGGTCTCATCCAAAAGATCGAAAGATCGCAAGATCGCCTGCCTTTGCTTCTCAGGTGCTTAACTATCTGGGCCGTCGACCCAGAGGGCAGTTTTCTTGTCAGCTTGACTTAGAAAAGAAGTGCCTGTTTTCTTTATCTTCCTTTCAGTCTTTCATATGCAAAATAATGTAAGCTGGGGGAAGAGCCACCTGTCAGGTCAAGTAGTGACTCGCAACATACATCTCTTAAATTCTGTTGAAAATGGTTTATGTAGGAATTGAGATCAAAGTTCTTTTGATACTCCCTGTGCTAGGCAGAGTAATAGATTATTCCCTTTACTGTCTTCACCTTCATGGCAATGAAATCACACATACTGATGCCAGGTACTGTTTTAAGGACTTTATGTATAGTAGTCACATTTAGTTTACCTTAGTATGAAATTTGCGTGCGTTTTCAGTTTTGTTTTACAGGCAAGAAGAGACTGGGAACTATTCAAATTGCTCAAAGTCACCCAAGCAAAGTATACAAGAGGGTTCAGGGAAACCTAGGTTTTTATGATTCTAACCTTTCTCTTAACACATTTCTGTGAGCCTTTGAAACTAGAACTTCATTTGTTTTTTATCTGAGATAGAGTCTCACTGTGTTGTTAGCCTTGGCTGTCTTGAACTCTCTATGCTGGTCTCAAATTCATATAGAAATCTACCTGCCTCTACCTCCCAAGCTAGGATTAAAGGCAAATCCCACCATGTCTGGCTTAAATCTTGGATACCCAGAAAATAACTGCATTTTCAAAAATCCATTCAACCTATCAATTATAAAATATGCTTACCATTTGTATGTGTCAGTATAATAAATTTTGTCATTGATTATAGGGTCCACTACCAGTATGTATGTAATGTACAACTATGTCTGACGTGGATGAAATAAGATGTATCGGATTCTCACCTAGACATTTTTCCTCCCGTCACTTTAGTTTCCCTGTGTATAAGGATTTTTAAAACGGTTAAGGTCTTTGGTTATTGGATTTACTTGCATCTTCCTACATGTCCTCAGAAGGTCTTTTGCCTAGGGTAGGTGGTTAGAAGGAAGGCCTTTCAGAGCCAGGAGCAATCCTTAGCCCAGAGCTCAGAGCTCATTGCCTTCCAGTAGTTATTAATACACCTAGACAACATTTAATAGATTCTATCTGAACACACAGAACTTAACACATTAAAAGAATACCTCATTGATTTCTATGGGATGTTAAATTGATGAGTCAGCTGGATTTTTATGACTACTAATCAGTGAATTACTAGTCAGAAATTCCATATTGTTGCTCCTACTGAAGCTGGTTAGTGAGTGCCAGGTTCACTTAAAAAAAAACCTGATGGCCAACAGTCCATTGTTTTAAATATGGGTTGTCGGTGCCTATCCTTTTATTTATTTATTTTGACACAGTGTCATGTAGTTCAGACTGAGCTTGAATTTAGTATGTGGCTAAGAATGATCTTGGGTCTTGCTGCTGATAAAAGCTGCATAGTCTTACATGTACACTCTCCACAGTCCCAAAGGATGACGACAGAACTACAGGTGAACTCTGAACGTCCAGAAATGATTCTGTTGCAGAACTTAAATGTAATTCAAATAGGGTTTCTAAACCCAGAAACAAGCTGAGAGTGGTGGCTTCTACCTGTAATCTCAGGACTTGGGAAACTGAACCATGAAGACTGCCACAAATACGTTCAGGGTTAGCCTGGGCTACATAATGAGTTTCAGGCCAGTCTGAGCTAGAAATCCTACCTTAAAAAGCCAAAAAGTATGTGTGTGGGGTGTGTGAAGGGGCGCTGGAAAGATAGCTCAGCAGTTAAGAGCATTGGGTCCTCTTCCAGAGGTCTTGGGTTTTATTCCCAGCACCCAGATGGCTAGCATCCTCCTTTCTCCTCCATGGGCACCAAATATACGCGTGTACAGTCATACACAAACAGGCAAAATAGCCATACACACTTACAAAAGAAAAGAAAGAATGAGTGGGCAGAGGGAGAAAGGCAACAAACTGATTATCAGTTTTTTTTTTTTTTTTGAGGCAGTGTCCCTTTATATAGTCCTGACTGTCCTAGAACTCAACTGTCCATCCAGGTGGCCTCAAACTCACAAAAATTTCCCCTGCCTCTGCCTCCTTACTGCTGGGATTAAAGGTGTGCACCATCATGCCTGGTCCTCAATCCAGTCTTAAATAGGACATGCTTTCCTGTTAATTAAATTTAAGAATTATTTGGGAGAGTGACATGAATAGGAATTAAGTTTTTGCTGTTGTTTCAAAGTGGGCAGTAACATTTCTTTTCTAGATGGGCATGGTGTCTCAGTCCTGTAATCCTAGTACTGGGGAAGCTGAGGCTGGGGGGAATCACTGCAAGTTCAAGGCCAGTCTGGTTTGCATAGTGATTTCAACTCTAGCTAGGGCTCTGTTGTGAGATCCTGTCTCAAAAAAAACAAAACAACAACAACAAAAAAAAACCCACAATAACAAAAGAGCATCCGCTTACTGTTGTCTTTCCCCATACGTCTCCTGACACAGTTGAGATGTAATGCTACTTT